GGCCTGTATTATATATTAGTATAAATACTACTATAATATTAGTATAAATAAAGGAGTAAGGCAAGGATGCATACTATCCCCTATGCTGTTCAATCTTTACTCGGAACTACTATTCAAGCAAGCATTGGAAAACCTTTCCACAGGAATAAAAATTAATGGAGAACCAATATCTAGCATAAGATATGCAGATGACACTGTCCTACTGGCTGATACAGACACAAACTTACAGAGGGTTATAGACCACCTTAAGGATGCTTGTCGAGAGTTTGGAATGAAGATCAACGAAAAAAAAAAACAAAAGTAATGGTGATCCAAAGAAAACAGAATATCCCCTTACCTATAAAAATAAATGGGAATATTTTAGAACAGGTAAACCAATACAAATACCTTGGCTGTTGGATTAATTTCAAGCTGGACCCAGAACAAGAAATTAAAGCGAGAATTGCTCAAGCTAGGGATAGTTTCTTTAAGATGCGCGTTCTATTCTGCGATACACATATAAATATTAAATTGAGATTAAAACTTGTAAAATGTTTTATCTGGTCTGTTCTTCTCTACGGAGTCGAAACGTGGACTTTAAAAATAAAGAGCCTGAATAGAATCGAGGCATTTGAAATGTGGGTGTACCGTAAAATTTTAAAAATTCCTTGGACAGCACGAAAAACAAAAAATGAAGAAGTACTAGCTAGACTCAAATTTAGAAAAAGAACTATTGAGAACAGTCAAAAGAAGAAAAACCAGTTATTTAGGGCATTTGTTGCGCAACGAGAAATACTACATCCCTCAGTTGATAGTAAAAGGCAAAATAGAAGGAAAGCGAGGAATTGGAAGAAAAAAATTGTCCTGGTTACGAAATATCAGAAACTGGACAGGACTTGGATTTGAGGAACTCTTAAGAGCAGCTGAAGATAGACAAACGTTTGCCACCATAACTGCTAACCTCCATTGATGGAGACGGCACTTGAAGAAGAAGAAGAAGGCCTGTATGACCAGAGATATCGGCATACATATTGGCAGCACAAATTTTACAGAAAAACGCAACGTCAATAAAGAAAAATTCTCTTGAAAAACTAAAAAAGAAAGTTGGAAAGATTCTTCTATAATTTTCGCATATTATTTTATCACATTTCAGTGTATTATTTTATTATTTTGAAATTTTCCTTTTGCTATACTTTTAAAATAAGTCAATCTATGTCTAATTATCTTCTTCTGCATCTACAGAAGATGCATCAGTAAATGAAATGTTTTTAATAATATTGGGTTCATCATTAGCCTTCGTTATTAGAGTTTCAGAAAACTCCGTTCTTTGAAAGTTGTCATCTTGATAAAGCTGCTGCGTTTTCGAATATTTAAAATGCTTGTAACCGTGCTTTTCCGTACTTTCGGTACAGTAACATTACTAACATCTAACTCTCTAGCAACACTTCTACTTGAAAGTGTTGAATCTACCTCGATTGTTGCACACATTTGTGTATCATGGTATTCTCTTTCATCAACTTTTTCTGTTGACACTTCTTGAGCGTGACATTTTCTGTAATTTTTGAGGCAATTACAACTCTCAAAATTGTTAGCAATGTTATGGACTGACTCTGCGCAAGGAATCGGTCTGCCCACAAAAAACACAGAAAATAAATCTACACAACCTATTCTGCGGGAGTATAAACATGTTGGGACATGTTGTTTATAAAAATAAATTAAAAATCTACGCTGTTATTGCTTTAAACAACCACTATTCGCTCAGTGCATGACTGATGCGACACCTACCGCCTTCATCTGACAACTTTGGAGTCCCAATTTTCAGGTTAATTATATGACATAAGTTTGACATTGTTAAATACATGCGAAATTGACAATTATTAATAAATTAGTTTTTTAACTATATTTTTTCAGTTTATGTACAAAATAAAAAATGTAGTATTAAAAACTGAGTTTCTCAAAATTCATCATAATATATCTTTTCAACTCCAAACGGAAAAGAAAGCGAAAAATCTAGTACTGGCAAATCAAGTTTTTTACGCAAAAGAGCATATAATTAAAAACAATAATAGTAAAAGTTATGATTTAAAAGCTAAAGTCATCTGCAGTTAGCTTGAAGCCTTATGAAATATCGTTCAAGGTAAATTATTTAAATTGTTCCTATTTCAATTGCATAAAAATGAAATTATGTGATATTTACTTTTTCATATTAATAGCACGAATTCATCTTTTTTTTTCTCTAATTTATATGTAATCTTTGGGAACCTATAAAAACTACACTCACTGTTTTTGCTATTATTAGCAGAATTAAATACGCAACATGTATTTGCACACATTTTTGATACAACTTATGCGTAAAAATATTTTGTCCAATATTCCAATTTTGTCATATTTCGCCGCTACGCACGCTGGCATCGTTTCAATGTACCCCTACCATGGTCACGCACGGAGCGAATATAATGACAAATTATTGGCGACGCGGCAACGGAAGTTCGTGGAAATTATACACACTGTATATTAGATTAAATGTACGTAAGATACACTACACAACGGCAAATATACAAATGGTCACTTGCTTTTTTCTACAGTGTCTTTGAAATCTCCTTTCTTGCTACTTATATTGTTTATTACAAAAATAATAAAATAAAACCAAGGAAACAAATCAAAAAGATACTTTTTGTGCCAGCTTGCTGACGAATTGGCTATGCTATTGATTGAAGAACAAGCTTAAAATCAGCCGATCCTGCGAAACCATTCGACAAAACTAGCGATTGAAAACTTATTACGATAAGCCGATTTCAGTTCAATCAACTATTGATAATCATTCACGAGACAACATTGACAACTATAAGTCACCTATTTGGCAACGAAGACAGACCAGAAACTGCTGTGAATACTAAAAGCCAGTGTCGATGAGCATACCTCAAAAATAACAACATGTATATGTTGTTGTCATTAATCGTTTTTTTAGGAATTTCTTAAAAAAAATTCCATGTTTTCCATGGCCTGTACATGTTGTTATTTTCAGAAATAAAATTTTCTTGGTTCAAATAAATAAAATAAATCTGTAAGCTCATACATCTATGGAGAATGAGTCAAATCATGGAGATTTGGGATGTTATTCGTGAATTAATTGTTAGAAAAAAAAATTCAACAAAATGCACGTCGATGGCTAGCCAGGTACCCAGCTGGCAAATCGAAGGAAAAACGTACACGTATACTCATCACCAATTACCATAAATACCCTCGTACATAGTACAAACTCATCACCGCCATAAAAGTAAGGATTTTCTTATACTATCATTTTCTTATACTCATCACTGGTTTACCTGCACCCCGTGGCAGGTATTGACCATAAACCCCTTGCAAACCGCGATTTGGTAATTTGATAGAATGAATCTAAAATCGATGTATTAAATGCAAATGTAAGTTCCAAAAATGTAAGCCGTTAAGTCATTAGCAACTCCGGCAAGAAAGCTCAAGAGAGGCCATCAAAAATCATTCACCAACAGATTGCAACATTTTCTTTGAAAGAACACATGACAACAACGGACATCTCTTGTATTCGGAGGAATATGAGCAACGATCGTTTTATTTTTATATCATCTGTACCTAAGACAATGGAAAAGCGAATCAAGTAATCCAACATGAATCTAAAGACGGACCGCGATCAATGTTTTGTGTTGGATAACGATTCGCAACAAAATATTATTTTTGGCATTCTTCCTACCCAATTCGTTCTTCTTCTTCAAGTGCCATCTTCGTTCCGAAGGTTGGCGATCATCAGGGCTATACGTATTTTCGACCTGCAGAATAGTGATGTAACAAATGTCATTTTTTAAACATTCGCGAATGCGAATATATGCCACCGATATTCGCGAAAGCGAATATTCAGTTTTTTTTTAATTTGGCAATTTTAATTGTCTCCGGCACTGCCGGCAGTCTCATTTGCGCGAGGTGTGTAGGCAATTGGAAAAAGTCTGTCATTTTTAACTGCTTTAAATTGTCCAGTATCATTCTATCATATTTGCTAAAGTAAAGATGTGAAACAGTTGTATTTA